CTTCTATGATTTCTACAGCAGCGAATTAGTTAACCCTTTCACCCCTCGCAGCAGTGTGCTGAGNACGAAGGGGGGCGGCAAACGAGAAAGTACCGGAAAACTCAAGTTCAGACATGTCAAGTGGAGCCAGGTGTCAATGTTTGAAGAAGAGGAGCCCCTTCTATGATTTCTACAGCAGCGAATTAGTTAACCCTTTCACCCCTCGCAGCAGTGTGCTGAGAAGTTTGGGTATACTAATTGATTAATTAATCAATTGATCCTCGAATTTAGCCGTGATCTGCGGAATTAATTAACACTTTCATCACTTCGAGGGAAAAAACCGCGAATTAATTAATTAAACCGCGAAGTAAACCACGACCCCACGAATTAATTAACCCTTTCATCACTTCGAAGGAAAAACCCGCGAATTAATTGATCAAACTGCGAATGAAACCGCGAATTAAACCGCGACCCCGCGAATTAATTAACCACCCACCCACCCACTTTCATCTGACCCCCCTACTGGGCCCCAACGACCAGGTCGACGCCAAAAACGTTGCGCCAGAATCGGCATTATATAACTACTATGATTGTTATGATGTATGTACATATGTATATTTGATTCAATTTAGGCAACATTTGTATAATGATTTGACCCTATAATTGGCGTCGGCTATTTGGTTCTTTAATAAAAAAAATATCAAATATCAAATGATATGAAAACAATTCTGTGTTTATTTTGAAAAAAATGGTGAAATCTCCCTAAAAAACAAAAACAAAGGTTTTTGTAAAAACGCCAAGAAATAGTTTTGTTCAGTTTTTACTGGAAAGCTTGAATTTTTAAAAAATAACAATAAATGAAAAAGAAAGCCAAATCAGAAATCTCAAATAAATCGGTGTAGTACACGAACAGATTTCTATAAGAAAAATAGCTCTGAATAGAAAAAGAATCTTAAAAAAATTCTCCATAAAATAAAAAATCGCTAGGAGCAAGACCAACGTTCTTGACGCGGATTTTTTCTACTCACTATCTATATCAATCAAATCCTCCATCTGTTGATCCGCGCCAAGGACGTTGGTCCTACTCCTACTGATTTGTTATTTTATGGAGAACTTTTTTAAGATTCTTTTTCTATTCAGAACTATTTTTCTTATAGAAATCTGTTTATGTACTATACCGATTTATTTGAGATTTCTGACTTGGCTTTCTTTTTCATTTATTGTTATTCTTTAAAAATTCCAGCTTTCCAGTAAAAACTGAACAAAACTATTTCTTGGCGCAGTTTTCTTTACAAAAACTTTTGTTTTTGTGTTTTAGGTTCTGGCTTACTGTCAGTGACCAAGTTAGGAAGCCGGTACCGGTTGTGGAATCAGTGTTACACTTAACCGAAAATCCATGTGACACTATATGTTCACCGTGATGAACCAAGTTCAATGGAAACTATCGACTATACTTTCTCTGAAGCTAAGAACATCCACTCAAGAATACTTCTAAGTCATTGAAAACAATACAAACAATCTATAACTGGCCCCCGTTTCTTAAGGGTTCCATGACTGGGCCACTGACGGTTTCTCAGTTATAGAAACAATTTAAAATTCTAGGAATTAATATATGAATTGAATTTGACTTATACTTGGTAAAGAAAAATGATTTAATTCCATTGATTTATCAGCGAACAATTGAAGAAAAATATGGTCACACACATACATATCTTCACATAGATACCAACAGTCTGAAAATGGCATTGTCGGACTTTTTAGATGATGACCGTATCATCCAAAAAGTCCGGGTTAATATAACACAAAAAATCCAAAATTTAAATTTAAACGATTACAAAGCTTCCATTCAAAAGCCAAAGATAAAAAAAACTTTTATCAAGTAAGTATTTTTTTCGGTTGTTCCTGGAAGGAAATCAATCCATTTTTGAAAGAATACACTGATACAACGATTTAGTTGCTGTTAACGAGGCTTCTAAACTATTACCACGATTCGTTAATTATTAATGAATAAAATCACTTGGGATAGCATCCGATCCATAATCGGAAGGTCCCGGGTTCAAATCCCGGTCTGGACTATCCATTTTTTTCAGTAAAATTTTTTTGGTTATTCATATTGAGAATAATCCCAGTTCCCCTCTTACCTCACTCAAATCCCATCTAAACATTTCCTATGATGACACAAAAATGTGCAATGCTATATAAATTCCCTTCTTTAATTCAAAAAAGAATTCCCTTCTTTCATTATTAACAAATCGTGGTAAGAAGCCTCGTCAATCGCAACTAGATCGTTCTATCTTTTCTATCAGTGTACAAAAAACTGTGTCAAGAAGATGTTTGGTTTGATTCTTATTGGGAAGTATAAATTTGTGAAAATCCAAAGGAATAAAAAAGAAAGCCAAGTCCAAAATGTCAAATGAATGGTCATAGAGTACAATGAGTTGTCTAAGAGCAAAATAGTTCTAAATCGAATAAGAATTGGAAAAAAATTCGCTATGAAATAAAAAAATCAGTGTGAGCAGTTGGCGCAGTTTTTTTTACCAAAACATTTGTTTTTGCTTTTTTACAGAGTTTCATAATTCATAAATTTTATTGTACTGAATCATATCCAATGTTCTATATTGTCTGGATCAAGACTAATTTCACATTAAATTTTGCAAAACCTTTTCTCTTCGAGGGAATTTCATAATTTGGGAAAATGTGTAATATTCCTGTTCTCACATTTGGCAATCGTTTAGAAATTACTTTTCTTCTTTCAGGTTTTAGAAAACAGGCGGGGAATTCCAATAACACTTGCAATAGTATTCGAGAGTGCAGCTAGGCGGTTGGGAGTGCGTTGTGAAGCAGTATCGTTCCCTGCCCACTTCCTTCTCCGTTGGAAAGAGAAATAGTAATTGAAAATTTATCAATTTTTATTCAATTCAGTTTCGTTTATTCATTTACCTATACACGTCGATAACGTTGCACCTTTTTCCTCGAAAGAAAAATGACCTAAATTTGAAATTCAAATTGTCTTTACTTTGGCTGAATCTATCTGTCAACTCCACGTTAGAATTTTCAATGAGTGTTTTTATTCGATTTGTCCGTAGTAATATTCCTGAGTCGGAAGAGATCGAGAGTTTCTACATTGACGTATTCAATGGAGGTCAATTTTTGACGAAAAACAGTTGTCCAAGGATAGGTGGAGTATCGAAATGCCCTATTGAGAGGTATAATGTTCATAATGGAGCGACTGCAGTGGAGGTACGTATGAGTCAAGATTTTGATGAATGATCAATCAATTTTGACGATTCAGACATGCGTGAATCCCCAAAAAAAAGTTTTTAGGGTCTGTCTCCATTATCTGCGCAACGTTATTTAGATTGCTTTTTTGTTGGATTTTTATCTCGAAATTTCAACTCGATGCCCCGTCACTCAGGGACACCTAAAAATTCTGAATTTAGTGTAGCGAAGCTACTTATATATCTATTTCAGATTATTTTAATGTATCATGTTCAAGCTTGGCTTAGCAACCGCATACCTTACCACAACACTTCGCGACGATTCGTAATAATTTGGACATCCTCGATCAGATGATTAATACCATTGTCGCGAGAGCATACTCTCGTTTCAGCTCTCATGGTGTAGACTAGTTAGTTTTGCTGTGAATAAATCTAATTAGATATATATATCAATTTCGCGTGTTATACGTTACAAAACCCATCTACCCTTTACCGAACTCCCACAAGTGGTGACCCCGACGTGATTCCTTCAACGTGACGAATAAAATTGCCGCATTAACGTGTTAATGAATGCTATTGTTAAAGTTGTGCTGTTTTCCGTTAAAATTGAAGTGATTTTTGGTCGCGTGGTTTTTCGTGGATTGTTCGAGAAGTGTTGGGTTTTGGCATGGTGCTCGGTAGCGTTCCTATCGTTTCGTGCGCTGTCGTTACCGCGTGTGATTTTTTTTTGTGCATCTTGGTGCATCGCTGAGCACCCAGGACGTTGTGCTGCACCGTGAAAATTATCACGAACAATTTTCGCCGTGATTAGTGCACTTCCAAACATTGTTAGTACATCTAGTGAAAATGAGCGAGGAAACTAACACAACTCAGGCATTGAGACGTTTTATAGTTCGTCCCGCACCATTTTCCCCTGAGCGTCCTGAACTCTGGTTTGCTCAACTCGAAGGGCAATTCCACCTTGCCGAAATCGTGGATGAACTGGACAAATTTCACATGGCTGCCGTTCATCTTGATACTGTTGCTGCAGCCGAGGTCCAGGATATTATACTGCATCTACCAGCTCAAACTCCGTACAAGGCGTTAAGGGACGCCCTCGTGGAAAGACTCACCGCTACCCAGGAGGGCAGATTCCACCAGTTCGTGGATAAAGAGGTCCTCGGTGATCGTAAGCCCTCACAATTTTTACATTTAAAATCCCTTGTAGATACCGTTCCAGAGAACATTCTAAAAAAACACAATGGCTTTCGCGCTTGCCGCCCAACACACAATCGACCCTGGCAACGCAGGCAGATTCTATCTTGGACAAAATGGCTGTGCTCGCAGATAAATTACAGGAGATATCGTCACCACCAAGTATCACTGCCATTTCTCCAGGTGCCGATCCAGCCGTTGCCGTTCTAGAACAGAGATTTTCGCGTCTCGAGGCTTGCATTTCAGAATTGGCGGATGCAGTCAGAAATCAACGTTCTCGTTCACATTCGCGTTCAAAGTCTCGTTCAAGGACATTCATTCAAAAATTTGACAAATGCTGGTACCATTACAAATTTGGTGACCAGGCCAAACGATACATGCCTCCATGTTCGATGTCATCGGGAAACGCATCGTCGGATCGTTAGCGGCAGTGAACGATCCAGTTTTCCGTTCCTACCGCCTATTCGTGTCGGAAATTTTTACAAAAGTCAAATACCTAATAGACCCCAGCGCGGATTTGTGCGTATATCCACAGACGCTCGTCCCAAATAAGAAAAAGGCAACGGAGTACATGCTGTACTGTCCTCTCACTCAATTTCGGTCTTAGAAAGGATTTCACTTGGCGTTTCGTTATTGCGGATGTTGAAAAACCCATCATTGGTGCCGATTTTCTCGCGCACTTTGGACTTTTGCCGGATTTAAAGATTAATCGCCTATTAGATTCAACGACTGAGTTATCGACGCCATGTATAGCGTAATTATCCAATATCGTTTCAACAATTAAAGTTTCCCGGCCGACCGACTCGTCTTGGACCAACCTTCTTGCCGAATTTCCGTCAATAACCAAACCAGATGGAATTTTCCGACTGACTAAACATTCAATGGTTCATGATATTGCAACAACACCTGGACCACCAGTATCGAGTAAACCTCGTCGTCTCGCCCCAGACAAATTAGCTATCGTCCAACAGCAATTTCAAAAGATGATGGAGCTGGGTATCTCTCCTCGTTCGAAGAGCTCCTGGTCTTCCCCGCTATACCTAGTGCCCAAAAAGTCTGGCGACTGGCGACCCTGTGGAGACTATCGTGGACTTAACGCTCGAACGATATCGGATAGATATCCTGTTCGCGTACTGGAAGATTTTACCGCCTACCTCGTAGGTAGAAAATATTTTCGACTATCGATCTCGTTCGTGCATTCAACCACATGATTGTCGCATCTGATGACATCTGCAAAACAGTAATAATTACACCATTCGGTTTATTCGAATTTTCATTCATGACGTTTGGACTTCGAAATGCCGCGCAGATGTTTCAACGATTTATCGATGAAGTAATACGAGATCCAGATTTCGTTTTTCCGTACATTAGTAGACAGGCAAGGGGGCTTGTGGATCAAATATGGGCGAGGGGGGCGCGGGGCGGGTAGGGTCGGAGGGGGGGGGGCGACGGTGTGAGGTCGGCGGCAGCGTTGCACGCGGAGGTGTGGCCACGTGACGTCACGCATGAGGGGAAATAGGCTGTGAAGAGGATGGACGGTTGACGCCGTGGGGAGTGGGGACGAGTTACCTTGAAAGGTGATGTCAATAGTCGGTAAGGGCGCCATTTTATCTACCGTACAGTAAAAATCCGCTTTGTTGAAAATACTGGGCTTTTTTCAATTTTTTCGTTTTTTTAGTGATTTTAAATTTTTAAAATTTCTAATTATTAGAAGACGATTGGGCAAAAAAATAAGACTCTATATAAATGATGTTTTTATTTGTATTTATTCATATTTATTTTGAGATATTTTTGCAAAGAGAACAATTTTTTTTCATTGGTGGAAGTTCATTTGAAGGATGATGGAGGTGACATCTGCGACAATTTGCGATTTCCTTGTCGTTGCGTAAACTCTCCGGCAACTTATCTCACACCTTCTCAATGCTTTGTGAAGCGATCGTGAAGAGGAAGTTTTTGGGGAAGAATGAAATGTCTTCAGCGCTTAATCCGTCCAGGCTTTTGCATGTACAGAACATGTCTAGTGATTTGCGTAATCCACCCGCCAGATGGTTTTTCATGTACCACAATTTTAGTCGTCTCACATTTTCAATAGCACAAACGTACGGCGATCTATAGTAATGGCTGATATGATTGGTGCATTTTGAAATGGTCAATGATGATAACTTTGGACAATTCCAATCTTCCAAGTCGATTACTGCGTGAGCATTTCCAAGTATTTGCTGAAGCCGTTGTTTCTTCTGCAATCCTTTCACATAGAGGTTCGTCACGTCCTTGGAAATCTTCTGGAGTATTTTGGGAACATCAGTGTATGATGTATTGCCGGCTCTCCAGGATATTTCATGGAAGTTGTTGATGAGCCATATATTGAAGAAAGTATAATCAATTTCTTCAGTATCATCCACATACGCAACTGCTAGCTCTTTTACAAAAGTGTCTCGATAACCTTGAAATCCTTGAACGTCCAAAATTGCCTCCATCTTTACAGTGTGCTCGACTGATTTTTATTTTTCGGGTGAGCGAGCGCAGTACTTTGGCGACTTGATTGCATCATCATCATGCACAATATCAGTGTGGTGGTGGGGGGTGGTAAACAATTCCTGGAAAAATCTGATGAGTCATCTATTTGCGCAGTACATGTCTCTAGAATTCCTGGAAGTGTTATTGACAATGTTTCTTTTTTTCCCTTGGCATTCATGATGCGTAGATACGTGCGCCGATATTTGTGCGCTCAACGGGAAGTCAGCCAGTCATCATGATGGATTACTTGAGCATAGATGAATTACGATTTTTGCGCAGTGTAGCCCCCTATGAATACGAGTGCAGTGCTATTATAAAGTCATATTTTGCTAATGATCCGGCTGATGGTTGAGGAATGATGCATAATATCATTAAAATCTATGGGGATCCGGAGCTAATAGAGCGCTATGCACAGTGTACTCGAAAACCATGGGAGAAGGATGATTTTGGTATTATTGAAAGACGCTACGGTAATCGCGATCCACCAGCTCAAGCCTTCAGCTTTTATTGCAACGTCATTCACTTTAGGGAGAATTTGAACATTGTAAGGCATTATCGCAAGATGCCGAATACTCCACAAAATAGTCAACAGCAGAAAGCAGAAATTATGATGCTCCCTGCCACCTGGGAACACAAACTTCAGATGGCAGAACATTTTCTTACACCCCAAACAACAGGACAATGGGAAGCAAGAACAAAGAGGAAAGAAGAAGTTTGGTGGTGGGGGAATTGCGTCTCAAATTGTTCTAAAAATTTGAAGAGTGGGGGAAACTGCGTCTTCAAATTTTTGAGGGGGGGGGGCAACTGCATTTCATCAAAAAAAATTTGTCCTCATCATGGAGCGCTTGAATCCGAACGAGGTGAAACTCCTGTGCGCACTTCCACCATTTCTGGTGGAGTATGACGACATTGTCATTCGCCATTATGGTGATAATGCACCACAACAAGCCTGGGCCTGTCTCCACAACCTCCTGGAATTGAAGGAGAATTTTGAGCTTGTGAAAAGTTGTCGTAGTGAGGCAGAAAAAAGTATCAACCACTTGAGTGATGATGAAGTGCAATTATTGCTCGCAATGTCACCATGTGTATGTGAATATGATGAAATTATCAGCAATCACTATGGGGACAATCCAACGCAAAGTGCCTGCGATTTTCTGCAGGATTTCCTCGACTTGCAGGGGAACTACAAAGTCGTTCTAAACCGTCGTCATCATTGTGGTGATGTTGGTGACTTGATAACTAACGGAAAGCAACAAGTGGTTAAGCAAAAAAAGCCCACTGACCACAACCAATTTTCCAAGGAAAATTCTC